GATATCAAAAAAGTACTCCAGAGTGTTGTTCAGCATGGGGGTGAGTAGAAAATGAAGGCTAATCATGTTTTGGGTGTACTATTCCTTTAAGGTACTGCTAATCACCATGTTAAAAATCGGTGACCATTAGTTAACCGTGTCCACCTTTATATTTCTCCCAGTGATCCTCTGCAGTCATGCCCCCCCCAGGAGTGTGTCTGAACATTGTAGAGGCCCGTCACAAACAGGATGGTCAGGGGAGCATCTCAAACCCCAGCTTCCTCTTCGGCCAAGACTACCAGCAGTGGAAGGAGTTCTGTATCACCAAAAGAGTCAAATTTATTGACAACATGTTCCCTCCTGACATGAGGTCCATCGGCCAGGGTCTCCTGAGCCCCTCTCATCTGGCCCATGTGGTTTGGCTCAGGCCTGCGGTAAGTGTCTCCAAATGTTCAATCATGTTGGTCAGATAATGGAGTTAATGTGACATTTAAGGCTAAACTTGAACCTCTCATTTAATTTTTATTTAATAGAAAATAGTACAGAATCCATCCTTCGTGGTTCGTGAGTTTTCAAGGTTTGACTTTTGTCAAGGAATACTTGGTGAGGTCATTCTGATTTTTATATAGAACTTTTTTTACGTATCATCTGAGATCAAGATAACTGAATCTCTGATCCTGAACAGGAAACTGCTGGTTTCTAGCTTCTATCGGTGCGCTGACCTTTCATGATAAAATCCTCATGCAAGTTGTTCCTGTTGAACAAGGGTTTGAGGAAAACTACTGTGGCCTGTTTCACTTCAGGGTAAATACCAACAACACTACAGTTGCAACTCTACCAAACCCTTCATCAATGAAAACATCCATTACAGTCAAAGACAAAACAGAAACCAGCTGTCTGAAGTCTCAAACATGAACATTTCATAGGGAAAGGGGGATTTCTAATACGATCATTTTTACTGGCAGAGAGTTCCCCTTCATCATCCATCAGATATATACCGATCAAGTCTATGTTCAATGGAGCAGTTTCTCATCCAACCCTGAGGCATAGAGGCAAGCTGTATGAAGTTCAAGGCATGGATGGCGTGTCAGTTTCTGATACGGACAGCTAAGCATCCACCTGATGCAACACATAG